ACAAAGTCTAGCACCGGCAGAACTTTTAAAAATCTTAAACATTTAATTCCAAAACTCGTATTTGGTCGCTGAAGAGACTATCCGGCCTCTATTATTGGTTCATGTTTTTCAAAACTGCAAAGGCAGCTAAAGTTATTGTCCATAGTAAGATATTCAGTCAAATTATTCTCAATTTTTAGTTGCTGCATTAATAATAGTACTGTTTCTAAAACGTTCTAACGAACTGTACAATAAGCCAAATGGTGTGTGAGATCATTTATTGCGACAAACTTAAAATGAAGAAACTACTTTTGGTGGGAGTATGCCATGACAATAGGATATATTGATATACCAGGTATGATAGATCAGTTGAAAACCAACACTCGCCGTGTAAATGACGAAATAAGGCCGGAAGTGCTAAAAAATTTGTTTAATATTGGGCCTAGTCTAATGTTTCAAATTCGGTTTCAACACTAACAGGTTATTATAATATTTGTTTGTATTTTACTGAAAATAAAATACATTCATTACGGTTTACAACTCGACTCAGTTGAACTGAAACTGAAACAACTCAACTTTAAAACAACTACCTCTTTGTTTTAGCATTACAACTACTTTCAGCTGAAGTTAAAGTACTCTAAAAAAGTGGCGTTGTGGAAAAAGCTGATGATTTTAAAAGGAAAAATTAAAATAATATAATTTAGTTAGTGATGGCGAAAGACAATAAAATATACTTTTAATTTATCCTAAAACGATGAAGCCTATGTAGTCAACCATTATGTGCTGCAAAAATTACTGAAAGAGGATAGTAATTCAATTTAATTTATTTTTAGTAGATTGAGTTATTATCGGTAATACTGAATTGCCAAACTTCAACTGAAATAGAGTTGAGTTGTTAACTGGAATGGTGGTAAATAGTTTTAATGGAACGAAGTACTTAATAAATATTTGATAATTCATAGAATAGTAATAATTTCAGACTTTTACGGACTAGTTCATTCTCAGTCCATATATTCTGCTAGTAGTTTCCTGCCTAATGACATTTTAATCAGAATTTTGTTAGTTATAAAACTAGTTACTTTGTGACTAGTTCGATACTTAAATTGTACGTTATGTATATATAATGGGTTTGGCATAACTTCAATATCAACTAGGGCTATGCGCAAACTTGTTAACGACTTTGTAACGCGACCGTAGCGTACACATTGTGGCAGCGAGTACGATTTTACTAATGGAATATTTGAAATTCTTTTCAAATTTCATATCGTCTCTCCTTTTGTAACTTTTCTAGCAATTAAGCATATTTGAACCGATAGGAATTAATTTCTGCTCATTAAAGTGTAACGGTCACCAACTTTAATGCAATTTTATATTAATATTGTTATGTTCACAATATTATTTATTTATTATTGTTGAGTTGATTGCTTGCTTATTTTTTTGCAAGTGTGGATCCTCTCTTGTAGTAGGATTACATCAAATTCAATTTAATTTAGAAACTTAATCGAACTTTATCAGATATTTTTCCATGTTACTTCAATCGAAGCTTTATATAAAATTTTTTATATTTATACAAAACGTGGATTCTTAACCAAAAACACGTATTACCAAAATAATGTTACTTACCCTTTTGCTGCAGAACTGTGTTTCTAATGAAAATCATTGACATATCTTCAAGTGAATAGAGATGGCGTAGCTCAGTTCTTGTTGGGGTTCAATTCAAATTCTTCTAAGAAATACGGTGTCTGTAGTAAAGAGGAGAGCAAGTTAGCCTATAGTGTTGTTATCAGAAAAAGACCGTTTACAGAGTTGTTGACTATTTTTTATTAAATTATTAATATATTTCAAAAGACAAGGGATATAAAGCTTTTCGCCAAGTAACATTGTGATGTTGCAGTCAGTCAAATTGAAAACCAATCCCAACAAAAACAGTAGGAAATTGATATCACTTGCCCGATTTCATAAATGAGGAATAACCACATATTAAGAATGTGCGCTCTTCCTGTGTAGTATGCGATAAAGAACTCTCAAAATTAAGAACAGTCCTGTTTTACAATTGTTTAAATATTGTAAATAAACTGTTTGCTGATATTAGAAAATAAAGGGGAATTCGACCTTTACTTTGGTAGAAATGGTCTCAAATTGAAAAAAAAAAATTGCTTGTGCATTTAAATTAATTGACATAGGAAAACTATTCTGGGCCCGCAGATACTTGTCTTACATCCTATGGTCATTTTAAAATTGGTTTAAGTTGGTCGTCTACCTTCGGGCCTATTTTTAACGATGGATTGGAAAAAACTACTTATGACATTTTGGGAAAAGTTATCTTTAAGGATAAATGACGCGACGTGGATAGTCAGCGCAGAGCTGGGTTTGGGGGGACTTGATATCTCGTAAACCATAATCTCTAGATCAAACTCTTTATCGGGCATGTTTCTAGTTATGTACACATGCGAAATATGTAAAAAAAACATCGATTTTATTTCAGACCGCGAAGGTATTCGATCTCCTTAAGAGACAAACAAGGTAACTAGAAAGAAAAATATTTGGTTGCAAGAATAGTAAAGAAACGGTTAAACTATTTGAGTGATATAATTCTTTGTCGTCGTTAAATTCGAGTGCATTTCGCTTTATTAGACCACGTAGACGTAGACAAATAAAATGTTCACATACATTTACCTATAGGGAGCTTTCAGTAGTGTCTTCCGCCCTTACCTGCCTGATATTAAATGGTGCTATTTTTATAAAATTGCATTTTTATTGTCCTAACATTTCATAAAAGCCCCTAATAGCTATATTTTAGACGCTATAAATACATATATTTCACCCACAATTTATTGTCATTTTCTTGCTCATATTAACATTTTTTAAAGGCGCATAATTTCTGCTTCAATAACTCAAAGCCAATTTAATACCCATGGAAAAATTAATTTTATACTATTAATATGCCATAGCGGGGTTGGCAGCACATTTACAAGAAAGAAGAACAATTTGAATAAAAAAAGCGTGCAGCCATTGATGCAGCCAGCCTTGCTGTGAGTTGAGCAATTTCGCGCTCATTTTGCTTGGCAATGCAATTGAATGGAATGAAAAAATTATTCAAACGTGCTAATACGACTATGTAATTTTCCCCGTGAAAACCAGTCGGCTTTCGTAAGCGGTAAGCGACTTGCAACATGCGAAATCCAATAGGGAGCGCATATGTACTACATTCACGGGTACACACATGAGTGTCTACAACGCATTTGTGCTACACGAATGTGTAAATATCAATAAAAATAGGCCACACAGTTGTCAGCACGTACCCGGATCGTGTGCGCCCCTACACACACGTCAAATGCGTTACGTTCGTCGACGATTGCATGTGCGTTTCTGCGTTGCAATGTGCATTCGGCAGGCAGTTGGAAACTAGAAATGCCTTAAGGTGAGGACGATTGAGGGGGAAATTAGCTGTTGGTACATAGCGTATCATATCTGTCTGTAGGTCCGCGAACTGTGTATGTTTCGATAAATGAATTTCCCCAACGGAAAAGTACGGCGGTACAAACATCAGGGTACCATCCCTAGTAAATTCATCTTTTTTACAGTTAGGGAGAAAATTTTTGTTGGATCTGATTAAGAAGTAGTTTTGAAGCGTGAAGTTTCTTTTACCTATCTTGGTCGGCTTACGGCTATCTGAAGACCTATAAAATACACTATCTTTAATATTGCTCAAAGAACTTACCGCAGACTTAGCTTCTTGTGGTTGATATATTTTTTTTTATCACTGGTGTTTTCCAGATGATACAAAGCCATCACGTATAAAGCTCAAAAACCGAAAAAAAGCCATCATTAGCCTCATTACATATTATTATACCGAATTCATTCTTTCGAAAACGAGCATCACATCGAGAAGTTAAACCAAAATAAAGGTCGTCTTTAAAACGTTCTTATATAAGCTGTCTTCGATTCGCCATTTCTTTGCTCGCTATCATTGGTCTAACCGCTATTCTCAATGATTTTAAAAACGTAAGGCGTTACTAAAACGTTTTCGACCAAAAAAATAATTTCTTCACCTAGAAAGAATCATAGCTTGGCTTGGCGAATGGAAAACAGCTATGTAATTATCAAGCGCTTTTAAATTTAGGTCAAATTTAGTACACTGTTCTAATCTTTGTAAAAAAGTGTGTGTTTACAAATATTAGTAGGCTACTATCCTTACCCAACCTTTAGTCACGAAGAGTCTTTACGACAAGTTAGAAATCTATTTTCATTACCAAAGGGTCAATATAACCGAAACGCACCCCGATTTATATCTGACAAAGAGCTCTCAGCTCAGCAGCATATATAAAAAAAGGTTTTTATACTTTGGGCCTCCAATTACGGTATATACATAAGTCGGTTCCCCATGCTTTTGATTTCCCAGCAGGGTTCCAGTTGTTATTTTTCTAATTTCCTACAGGGTCATGCGGAGGTGACAGCAATGTGTTGGTAAATGGGAGACAGATCTAAAGGGAAGACAATGAAAACAAACAACTTTGTTGAAATAATAAAAAATAAACTGAAACACAACATAAATAAGAAGAATGAAAGTGTATCATAAAAAAGAAAAAGAAAACAAAGCACAACAAAACAAAAAAAGACAACAAAAATTCAAAATAAATACTAATAAGCTTGTCTGCCTGCCTACAAGCTTGCCGGCAGTTGGCTGCCAACCGTTGATTAATTTGATGTGAAATATATATGTTCACAAATGCATACATACATTCTTGAATATACACATATAGGAACGATCGCCTGACAGCCACGCGTTTACCACACATTGCAACATCTCCAATAATTGTAGTACCCCCTATAGCATGCAAATCCATTTCACTGCGCTTAATTCGGTTCTTCACGCTTTTCAATTGAATTATCAGCTCATCTCTAGCGATCTATTTCTGTGCAACGTCTTTTCACTGTGAACTCTTATCCAACCCATATAATTCCCACTAATTTATATAATAATATGCTTTTTTTTTTTTTTGCTTTTTTTCTTTGAACAGATTTATCGCGTAATCGCTTTTGCGAGCTACCCGAGGAGATCACCACATTCTCATTTCTGGAGACGCTGCTGCTCTATCACAACACCATACGCAATATTCCCGAATCGGTGAAGCATCTGACATCGTTAACGTATTTGGATTTGCGCAGCAATCAGCTGGCAGCTCTGCCACGTGAGATCTGCTTTCTGCCGTTGCAAGTGCTGCTCGTGTCTAATAATCGCTTGGCAACGCTGCCCGATGAGTTGGGCCGCATGGAGCGGCTTACCGATTTGGATGCCTCATACAATCAATTGTCGACGCTGCCGGCACGCATTGGCGAGCTACGTTCGTTGCGTTCACTATCGTTGCGCAGCAATCAGTTGATGTATTTACCGCGTGGTGAGTAATTACAAACATACCATACATTTGGGGCTTTTTATATGGTCGATAATAATAATAAATAAATTGGCGTAGTATTTGTGAGATGGTTTCTAGCTTAGCGCACTTAATAAATATATTTCAAGTATTATATTTATACCAACGCAATATCTGGCATAGTGTATAATATGGTAGCTTTGTTCAACTAACGGTTGTTTATAGAACATACAATTAATCGAGTTAGATATAAGTATCATACAGTTATGTGCCAGAATGGCCAGGATGACCAATTTAAACAATTTTTGGACGTATGTACATATGTTTATGCGTTTGCCCTTCACCGTTAACTTGAGAAAAAATTGAAATATGCTTATATAACTTGGCAGATAGTATTCCTAGTCACCCTGGGGTAGTTGGATTCCGATGCAATCGAACTATTGTCACGCCGACAAAACACTGTTTTGTCAACCTCATTTAGTGTGAATATTGCCTTTTATCACAACTAAAACTAGATAAAAACGGTCAAGGCCAGCGTTACAAATAAGACAGACATATCCCAAATACATACGGTATTAAAAAAATAATGTTATTTCAAATGTTAATTTAATTATTTTTTTAAAGCATTGTTCCAAACTGGCCTAGACTGATTTTACCTAATTTTTCGAACATATCCTAACATCGGGATCAAAAAATATAAATCTTAATTTTAATGCAATATTTTTGAATAAGAAAATTTGCAACCCTGGTCTAGGCCAAACCTAGCCCTCACAGGTTTATAAAATATAAGGAATTTCTTCCCTGTGTGTTTACTTTATATAGAATATATCCGACAATTTTCGATATATCTTAGTAAAATTGAGTCCAGGCTTTCACTAAACTTCTTATACCCAATATAACTAAATATGGGAAATCGTTTGTATACATCGGTCAAGATTGTCGGTCGACATTGTCTATCAAAAACGACGGTGGTCGAATCGTGGCCAAGCCAGAATTGACGATTAGGAAGGTTTTGTCGTGGGATTGACAGGCCATCATCTTCTATTAGCTGTTCCCTACAAAAACTCCTATTTCGGATAGTTACTGCCAACAATAGCCCGTCTGAAGGAAGCAATCGCCAAGAAGCGGCCAGCATTGGCCAATGGGTGAGGAAATGTGTTCCATCAAGAGAACGCCAGAACACACACATCGATAGTGAATCGGCAGAAGCTACGGGAGGTTGGTTGGGAGGTTCTTATGCACTTTATAGCACGGACTGTATCACAAAATGATTAATAACTGGTCCATTTTATGGCGAATGAATTTGCTTCGCCCCGAAACAAGCTTTGAAAATCGGCTGTTCCAGTTTTTTTGCCAATAAAGACAAGGGTTTCTATAAGAGTGGTATGAAATTACCCTCAAAATGAAAACTAGTTATCGAACAAAACGGTGCATATTTGCCCTCAGTCAGATCATTTTAACTATGCCAATTAAAGCTTAAATTTAATGCAAAATTAATGTATTTTTATATATTATTTATTTTTACTAGACCTTATACTATATAAAGTTCAGCAGCAACCGGACTTTGCCCTACCTTATTTCCTATATTCTGAATTTCATAAAATTGTGAGTTCGAGCGCCCGCTTATCGGTATTTCCGTACTAAGAAATATTTCACATAACTTTTTTATTAGTCATGCGAAAAAATTTTGATTTCGCTCAATTTTTTAGCTGTTTTCCCCATGATCTTAATATGTTTGAGTTACTTTTACATGAATTAAATTAATTTTAAGAAGTTTTTTTGGAAAACTTTTTTAAGTTGCATTAAACAATAAGTAAGCAAATAAGCAGCTGACAAACCTAATTATTAGTTGCTTGGAATTGTATTCTTATCAATAGCTTCTTACGATGAAATATTACGTATTGCTATTTATATTTCTGGGAATATAAACATGATCGCTAATGCATTCGATTGAAATGGGCACTCACACTGGTATTTCAGTCGTACTTTTATAAGAACAGGCGCTCTTCTTCACCCACCAGATCATATATCAATCTTATACATATGTCGAATAGTAACTTGTAACTCGATCGTCTTAGGCCCTTGAGCAAATTTATTGTGACTAGGAGATTTATTTAATAGTAAAGACTTAATATTTTGCAACAAACCGGTATAAAAAATCTGTAATGTTTACTTTTGAGGTTACAGAAAATTCAAGAGGTTATGAACTATACAGGATGTGTCATCTTTTATGTGGGCATGTAAAATTTGAATAACTTGAAAGAAATCGCCTCTAACTAGTCGAATTAGTCGCTCATGTTTTGAGATATCAATTGAAATTTCGCACACCTTTTTATTCCCGATATCGCCGCCAATATCGGGCAGCTATAGCATATAACTGTCAGGCTAACTGAACAGTCAAAGTCAAGATACGAATTTTTTTTAATAAGAAAAGAAAATATTGGGACACTTCTTTTTGACATCAGACATACTTATGAGCAATTTTTGTTGACGGACTGGAACAGTTTTTAATTTAAGTAAAAAATTATCACTCTTACTCGATGTTAAATTTGAAATTGTCACAATAATTCTCTTAACTTCTGTCTCACAGAATTGACGTGTCTAACGCTGGAATCGTTGGATGTTAGCAATAATCGCATCGCTAGTCTACCTCTGGAGATACGCCAAATGACAGCGCTGGTCGAATTGAATTTAGAAAATAATCCGCTTACGTCTCCACCTGCTAGTGTAAGTGTACTCATATGTGAAAAATATTTGATTGCATTGCATTAGTTACACTCTCTCTTCTACTCTCTTGCTACAAATACGATTAAATTCCGTTAATAACCCCAGTTGAACTTTCTTTCCATTACAGCTCTGCATACGCGGTCTTGTACACGTCTTTAAATTTCTCGAAACTCAAGCGGCCAAAGATGAGAAGGGCTCTCGTGCCGGTGGCAATTATGATGGCTACACCACATTGCGACGAGCGCCACGCCATGCGGCCAACGGCAGTGTGCTCGAATCGAATCGTGTGCCGCGTCATCATCATGGCGCTGAGTCCGGCTACAGCACCTGTGATGGCATTGACAAGCGTTGGTCACACGATATGCCAAATGGTATTTAATGCATACTCAAACACACACACACACACACACAGTTACAAATAAACATCCAAAGAGTTATACATACAACTGCATACAATTGTTTTCATGTATTATACAACAACACACATCATAGCAATTCAATCAACCACTAATCACAGCTCATTTACTCACTTCCTGTGTTCAACTTACAGTTAAAACCAAATTGGATTCACCGGCACGTAGAACGCCAACCACACCGCCTCCCTCGTTGAGTTCGGAATTAATGGATGCGTCGCTGACTTCTAGCTCAAGCACTATCGTTGATGAGTCAATATCGTTGAGTGGCACGAGTACAGGTGGCATAGTCGTTCCAATAGCGGTTACTGCCGCCGTTGTTAAGCCGCTAAGTGCAACGGATTCGCCAATGAAACGTAAAGTAGAAATGCAAGTGGCGGCGTCTGCGCAATCAGCGCCTGTCACACCGCAGCATCAGAATCATTCGGTGCAACAGCAACAACACCAGCATTTAAACTATGCGCATTCGAATTCGAGTAATGGGAGTAATAACGGGAGTAATGGCTCATCACCCGACCAAGACGATGCCATGATAGAACATTATCAACAGATTGCTGGCGGACAAAATGGCAAGAACGACGAGAAGTCCAATAAAAATTTGGGAAATATACAAACCTATCGGTTAGTAACGTGATTATAAAACTAAACCAGTTTTTATACTTTGAGCAGGATATATTAAGTTTGACACAAAATTTGTAACACCTAAAAGAGAACTTCGGAGATCATATAAAGTGTACGAGTATATGTAAATGATAGGATTGACGAGTTGAGTCGATTTTCCAGGTCTGTCTGTCTGCCGGTGTATACCATATGCGAACTAGTCCTTTAGCTTGTGAGTTATCAGTCGAAAATTTTGGCTCGAATTACTGTCCAAGGCAACACCACCATCTCGGAATATATGCTTCCGATCGAACCATATATATGATATAGCTGCCATACAAATCAAGATAAAGATATTTTTATACCCTTTTATGCTATAAAAAATCCACCTTGGAAGAGTATTATAGCTTCGGTATAGCCGACGATAATCTTTGTTTTAGTTTTCTACTTGTTTAATAATGATCGTTTAAAATATTTTGTGAATTTCATAGCTAAATATTATTTTAACACTAAATGTTTGATATACCAGTTATTACTAAATTTGTACCATTCAACTATTCCCTTACCTAATATCCAATTCTGTTTACAAACAGACGATCGGCTTCGGCAGAAAATGAAAGCTTTTACTAAACGAAATTTGTTTAAAATTATAGTAAAAATTTTTTTTATAGTAAATATTTACTTTCAACTCTTCGGCACTATTTCTGATATAAAATAGTTTTATTAAAAATTTTTGACGGAGATTATTCAAAGTTTTTAGTTTATATTCGGTTTCCACATAGGTTAAACAAGGGAAATCTAACACCAATTTTAATTTTTTAAGCTTTTATATCAAATTTAAACCGTTCGAGGATAAACAGATTTAAATTATTTTTCCTCGATAAATTTCCCTTTTGTTACTATTGTGGCCTCTATGTTCGACTGTTGTGGGAACAAAAGATGAAATTTATCGGGAAAATGCTACAGAAGAAACTGTCACTTCGCAACATTATTATGTTTTTTAAATGTTTTGCTCCCTTCCAGTGAATACAAGGAGGCATTGAAGCAGCAACGAAATTTGGAAGTCTCCAGTGTTTATAAAATCAAAAATAACCAAAAAATGCTGTACGACATGAGCGAGGCCTCGAATGCCTTGAATTCGATAGTGGGAAATATGTCACACCATGAAGATCACAATGGTGGTGGTAGCGATAACGGCTGCAACGAAATTATACGAATTGTGAATGGTGCCAATAATATGCCACAACCGAAATCGATAATGAAGAATGGCAGTGGTGGTGGAGGAGTCGGTGTTGGAGTTGGTGTAGGTGTTATTGGCAGTAATGGTGGACTAAATATGCTAAATGGCATGATGAATGGTGTCAATGGTGGTGGTGGTGTCATTGTTGGTGACGCTGGCAGCGATTATTGTGTTGTAATACCAAAGAAACCGGTACAAAAAGTGACGCCGTCACGGAATACCGAATTAATGTCGTCGCTGGCGACGTCAAAGCAAATGCAACCAGTCACAGCTAATGCAACAATAACAACAGCAACAGCAGAGGAGTTGGAAAAAATGCTGTTATTACAACAGCAACAACAACAACAACTGTCACAACAGCAACAACAAGTTCTGAACGGTGATTGCATGGGTTATGTGAAACCCAATAGTCCAATGAAAACGCTTAATGGTGTCGGCACTGGTGGTGGTGTTGGCGGCGGTGGCATGGTCGGTGTTGGCATACTTGCGAATAATAATAAAATTGCTTCAATTGGTGGTCTCAAATCGCCTGTGAGTGGTACAAATAAGTTGGGTACTACGAAAACGCATCGGTAAGTGAATTTTGAATTCCTTTTCTGTTATAAAATAGTAATTTGGTTTAATTTTTCTTATCCAATAAATAGCACTGTCACCTGGAATCATGACATACCTGCGGAGAAACTTAGCTTTACTATGCGTCGCGAATTCGATCGACAACGTGAGGAGACTGAATTAATGACTCAACTGAGGAGTGTAAGTACACCGAAGCTTATTAATATTTTTGTAGAATATAGAACAGGGTACTGTATCGAACTTCTGCGGAGTTGCAGTGGTTGTTGTTGGCCCAAAGTTTGAACCACACAGATAGAAGCGTCAGAGGCCCTATAATATATATATATATAAATGATAAGCATGACGAGCTAAGTCGATTTAGTCATGCCTATCTTTCCATCTGTTTGTATTTGCGAGAATAAGTTTCTCAGTTTTTGAAATCTCATTTTGAAATTTGCGCATCCCCAAAAATTGCTTCGGAATTGTCGACTAATTATGTCTTTGTATGGAAAACTTTACATGGATTATAGCCCAAAAGCTGCGGTGAGGAAGGGCTTTCTTCGTAAAATTATCTTAATTAAAAAAAAAAGAATATTACTATGGATGAATACAGAAAAATACCGTTTTTTTGGGAAAAAATTACACTTCATAGTGTCTTAAAAAATCAAAATTTTTATTAAAAATTTTATTTTATCGATCATTTCTTGACAAATTTATCTGAGAAGGTCATGTGGAAATTTTAAGCCGATTGGTCCAGTTGAGTCGGAGAAATTTTCCAAACGGACTTTTAAAACAGATTTTCAAGAAAAACGCTTTCAAGTTTGGGGAGCCGATTATACTAAGTGAAAAAATTCTTAAAAATACGCCTATATCTCTAAAAATATTTGCCGAAACAACTTCAAATTTGTGGATAATAATCTTAAATATATGTACGTTCGATATACATAAATCCAAAAAAATAAATTTTTTGAAATTCACAAGTGTATATAACCCCTTAACACTGATTTAAATAAAGGTTGTAAAATATATGACATCACATAAAGAAAAAAAAAAACATATAGTACCCTCTATTTTCAATTGAATTTTAAGGTATTCAATATTTCAGGTTTTTTTTACAAACAACTTAATATTGTTATTGTGTAGTATTATATATTATTCTCCAGATAGTTTGGAAGCTAGTCTGCTGTCTTAGCAGCCTAGGTTCAAACACGGTTTTGTAGACTATTGTATTAAACACAGTACAAAATGAAACTTTTGTGATGCTGATATTATTTATTTTATTTCGCGCATAATTTCTTTTACTACTGTTAAAATTTATTAACTCAATCTTCAACAATTTTAGATCATTGAAACACGTCTCAAAATGACACTACCCGAAGATATAGCATCCGCCTTAACCGATGGCGTTATTCTCTGTCATTTAGCCAATTATGTGCGTCCACGTTCGGTTGCCAGTATACATGTGCCATCGCCTGGTGTCGTAAGTCGCAACATACTAAAACATAGTAATATTTTTAATAATATATTTTATTTTCTTGCAGTCGAAATTAACAATGGCTCGTTGTCGCAGAAATGTCGATAATTTTCTGGAAGCTTGTCGTAGAATTGGTGTAGATGAGGTGAGTCTAATGAAGCTATAGTATAGTACTACTAACTCTATATAACTTCAATGAGGGCAAAAAGTTAAATAGCTTTGGAATATTTAGAATAACAGTAGATCAGATAGCAATCAAAATATACCAGAAATTTTATAGCATTATATCGAAGGAGGTTTCGAGACAAAGAAATACTAATTGTTTAGTCCACAAACTCATAATCATATTGTGGTAATACAATTAGCTTCGAAACAATGTATGGAATACATTCGTTTTGATTTTCAACTTCAATATTATAGGTTTTTACCGGTGATCAGGTCCTTCAAATACTTTCTAATATCCAATATAGTCTGTATATCTATGCCTTATTGTTCTTGCTGTTGAATGTTGGTGTGATTGTAGTCGTTGTCCGCGATATAAAGCTTAGTTTACCTAAACGTATTTTTTTTACATTGATCTGAACGTTTAGAACGAATAAATCCTCTATATTGAGTTTTACTTTCAAAACAAATTTCCACTGTAGTAAGATCGAACAGATCAATTCATATGAACAGCAATGAAAAATGAAATGAATAATGTGTTAAAATATGTTCTGATAGAAGCTTGTTGATCCGAAATTAGTCGAAAATTTTCTGCTGGCGGAACTGTATATTTAACAAGAAAAACCATAACTACGGCTGCACCGAAGCTTTAATATCCATTACAGGTTACATTTCTGTTAGAAAAAAAGGGAATGAAAAGATATTTATCTTAATTTTGATCGGCCGGTTTGTATTGCAGCTATATGCTATAGTGGTTCGATCTGAGCAATCTGTTCAGAGATTGTTGCGCTTTTTTGTGCAATAATCTACTAACCATACTCTAAGATAATTTCTCAAATAAAAAAGTTTTCCATACAAGAACTTTGACTCGTCTACTTCTTATTTTTTACAAAAGACGATTTAAAAGCTATAAACCAAGTTATTCCAAAGCTATATAACTCACTTTTAACATTTTATAAACTAACGTACAAGAATATTGAAAAACTGTACATATATGTATATATTTATGAGTGCACCACGTAAAATCCCTCACTTTCCTATTACCCCCTAAAATAAAAAAAAACTTACCTCATTAAATTATTAATTTGTCTAAACGGTCTAAATGCAAACAAAAAATCTGTTATTGGTGTTGGTTGCAGGAGTTGATTTGCTCCTGTGCAGACATTGTGCCCCCCTCCGACGACGGATCCAACAACAGCAACAGCAATAACAACAAAAATTCCATAAATAACAATGAACACCAACAAATCCAAATTATGCCAAATATAAATGAACAAAATGAAAATTCACAAACGCTACCGAATCCATCGGCTGTTTTGAAAACGGTTTCGGCGCTAATCGCCTTGGATTACAATCCACATCATCAGAATATACGAAATTTGCAACAACAATACGAGTTGAAGTTAAAATTGCAAAGGCAGCAGGAGAAATTGAAGCAACAGCAAGATGAAGATGAAGAAGTACAAGAACAACAACATAAGAACGCGCAGACAACTTTCGATTTTCAACGTCGTTGTGTTTTGACAAAGGATGGGCGCGGCGGCGATGGCGGCTTCGAGCACGAATATGAGCACCAACTCACTGCAACCTGCACCAAAGAACAGATGATGCAGCCAACTTTGCATACGCTTGCAAGCCTAGACAATTCCACATTTAATTTGAGTGCAAAGTGTCATTTCGATGTGACCGTGCTCACCAATGGACACGGTGTTGGAAGTGGTGGTCGCGGCTGTAGTGTTGGTGTTGGTGTTGATGAAACAGTGAATACGAAAGATTTTGACAGTGACGATATTGATGAAGGCGTCGGTGCTGAAGAAGAGGAGCGAGATGAATTCGACGCCTCTGGAAACGGTGAACATTACGGGCAAAGTTACAGCAAACAAAAATCGCAGCAGCGCAGCAATAATCATAATGTTGTCGATTTTTTTCGTCATGCCAAGTTGAAAACATTTCAAAAAATTAAATTCAATCTACTCTCCTCCTCGAGTGCCACATCTTGCATCAATTATGGACACGTGAACAACAGTCAGTGTATGCTGCAAACCATTGTGGAAACGGAAAGTGAAGTAATTGGCGGCGGCGGTGGTGGAGGGGGTACGGATAACTGCAATAAAGGCGTTGGTGGTGGTGGCGCTTACCAGCTGATCAACGAGAAGCCGACATTCAACGAGGAGCTAAAACTAAAGGTCGAAAGCCGTGCAATAGACGTAACGGGCAACAAATACAAGTTATACGATTTAGCAACGTTGCAAAAGAAAACACCTACCGTGGAGGTAGAAGAGGCGCTACCGATTGTCTCGAAACGTATCGAATTCTTCGAACACTCATCTGCTGGCAAAGCAACCTTAACCTCAGCCTCAATCTCATTGAATAATAGTATAAATGGCTGCCTTAACAGCAGCAACAAATCAAAATCCTCAAATACATCAACAGCTACAACAACAAATGCAGCAGCAGCGACAGCATCAGCAACAAAACCTAACAATAATAGCATTTTCAGCATCTATCGCGTGGTTGATGTGAACGATGGCAAGTCGGTCAACAGCAGCAAAATTTTGAATAACAGTAATGTGACTGGCGGTCTTGCAACAGCTGAGGAGGCAGGCACTTCTTACCTGTTGAAGCATGATTCGCACGTGCTTACAATTATTCTATCGTGTGTCTTTATTGTAACATTTTTGCTGTTGGTCTTCTTTCCATTGCCCGGATAGGAGACGCGACACAGGGAATTGTTATATGCCACATTGCTTTATAGAGCTTAAGTATAGATTTAGTTTTGTGGAGCATTCTACTATTGCATTAGAAGTTGCAGGAGTTGTAGTAAACGTTCAGTTGACTAAGGTATATGTACTTTTTCTTTTTTAGTTTTTTATGTCGCTTACTATATCATATTTAATATTTAAGGCAATCCAACCGTAAAGAATGAAGCTTTTATTACTATTTATGAGTTTAATGGCTGCCTCTTGCTTAAAAGATTCGTTGCAGCATGTATATGTTACAATTTGTTGTAATATTGTTAATTTTAGGTTTGTTAAAAAACGTATTTTTTCAAAAAAAAAGTAAGAATTTCATTTAAATATTGATTTTATTTCATTTATTAAAACTTTAAAAATTATTAATATTTATTATAAAAAAAGCTAATTTTGATTCTTATTTCAAAGCGTGAGTTCGTTTTTCAATTTCGCTAAATAATTTAATAAACTTATGCCACTTTAATAATCATTTGTTTAAGATTGTAGGTAATATAATACCTAAGTGCTTAAGTATAATTGTAAAAAATACTATAACTTAACTTTTTTTTATTCAATTTTAAATACGTAAACTTTTTCGCATAACGATCTTCGAACATTGAATATATTTTTCTATGGCTGCTATGTTTCGACATAATTTATTACATATATTTGATATATATTATATTATATTTGAATATTTATTTAATTTACTATAATATTTTGGTAAATACTTACACAGTTACATAACCTTAAATAATTTTAAAATCTTAAATCTTGAAAGATTTTCTACAGAAAACTGAAAAATGTTGTCTTTACTTTGATTTATAACCGTCAGCACGAAGCTCAAATTTTTTATTTACAGTAATTTATTTAAAAATATTCAATTCATTTGGATTTGTATTTACTTTAAAATATTGTTCATACTGAGTTCGTAGTTTCAATACTTCAAAATATTTTTTTTTTTGAGACATTTTTCGAACTTTGAAATATTTTATGAGTATAATGGAGAGAACGTTTGTACTATTCCCAAGACTTTTTCCTTCCAAATATTTATCTAACTAAATCGTATTACATTATTTAAGATTTAGAAAATATGCTTCGAGAAAATTTTCTCCCTTCCAACTAAGACTCCAAAGTTTATTCATTTTAGTGAAACCAAAGTTGAATATCTAAATGAAAATAATATAGTAAAATGTAAGTCTGCAAAGTAGTAAATAGTTTATAGCTTATATAAAATAAATATCTTTTGAAATCATGCTGCCTGTTTACCTTGCTGTAAGTAATTGAGTATAAACAAGATTTTCCTGTTTTTATTAAACCAAAATATAGAAAAAAGTATGGCTGAAACTAAAAAAGTTGAACAATTTTAGACAATAAAAATATTTAATATTTTTTTTTTTTTTAAATTTGAATTCCTTATAATCCCCACATTTTGAATCCGTGGAAAATTTTAGGCTATTATACATTGTTTTTAATAATTATTATAATTTTCTAATAATTATTTATTTATATTATTACAAACACGTATATATCTATTATTTTGAGAGTTCAATCAGTTAACATATACCCGAGAGTAAAATAGCAGTTATATGCCGTTTCCATGACTGTCGGGTCTACATAGGCGGACATAGACATAGATTTTTATCTGACTTTTGCTGCATTTCTCAAAAATAATTGTGGAATATTTTCTGCCGCTTTTTTTCCATACAAAATTTCATACCAAGGGTCTATGTCGGGTTAATAGTATTAAAACCTACAAATTGCTTTTAGTTTAAAACATATTATACATTAAAGTATTCATTTAATATAATAATATATTTCAATAAGCATATTATTTACTTTTTATAAACAACATTATCTGAGCAGAGGCTGCATATTTTTTTGTATAACAGTACTTAAAAGTGCATTTCGTAATGAAACGAAAACCAAATTATTTGCATAACCTTTTTCATGCTTAATATTAAATTACTTTGGATTAAAAAGCGATTCATTTAGTATTTATTTCGATAAAAAATGAATATATAACTTAATACGACTTATTAAAACCAAAAGGCGAATTGATGGAATATAAAAAAAAAAAAATATATTCAATCATTTTATATATACTTATTAAATAAAAAATGTAATCGCCTTAAAATTTATATAGTATAAGAGATCGAGCACAAATTCGTATGAAATATTTATCGGCATCAAATATTGCATACTTTTAAGCGTGAAGCACAATGTCGGAACAGGTTAAATTACTAGATTT